CATCATCAGCTAATTGGCTTTTAATCACCAAATGAACCTAAAAAACTGAGCCGAGCGCACTGCGGTCTCCTATAAATGCCACATAAACCAATTTCCATTTGGAGTGCCGGCCCTTTAAGTGCTATAAACCCCGGAGAGATAACCACTTAATGGGGTTTAACCAGCGAGGAGAATTGCCTATAGGCCATAAAACAAATAATCGCCATGAAAATATCTGCGATGACCTCACAGCGGCTGCACATTGTTCTGGGATATTATCGCTCGCTAATGGAGCTGACATTTCCCTCAGATAACAGGACAGCATAATGGCGGGGGGCCTCCGGTGTGACAGACTGCCCCGCCATTGCCATGTTAAAGAGGGAAGTGGCCTGTGTGGCCCTCGGGGCACCTAACTGGTTTTCTTACCGTTTAAGGGCCCCAAGGCCATTAAAATGCCGCTGTAATGGGACAATTCATGGCTAAAGAGCAATTATCAGTGAAATTAGCCGATAGCAGGATATTAAATTTACTTTGTATCCAGAACGCCGTGTACCCACCAATGACGTACAGAGAACGGCTACAATTGTTCAGTGTTCCTGCTGAGATATACAATCCACCCAAATATACCATAAAACCAGCAGATGGGACAGTAGAAGTATTATCACCGGTCTCTGTGCCAGAGGAGCTGACACTCTAATGTCCCCTCCCCCACAGTCACATCATTCTCTGTACCAGAGGAGCTGACACTCTAATGTCCCCTCCCCCACAGTCACATCAGTCTCTGTACCAGAGGAGCTGACACTCTAATGTCCCCTCCCCCACAGTCCCATCAGTCTCTGTACCAGAGGAGCTGACACTCTAATGTCCCCTCCCCCACAGTCCCATCAGTCTCTGTACCAGAGGAGCTGACACTCTAATGTCCCCTCCCCCACAGTCCCATCAGTCTCTGTACCAGAGGAGCTTACACTCTAATGTCCCCTCCCCCACAGTCCCATCAGTCTCTGTACCAGAGGAGCTGACGCTCTAATGTCCCCTCCCCCGCAGTCCCATCAGTCTCTGTACCAGAGGAGCTGACACTCTAATGTCCCCTCCCCCACAGTCCCATCAGTCTCTGTACCAGAGGAGCTTACGCTCTAATGTCCCCTCCCCCACAGTCCCATCAGTCTCTGTACCAGAGGAACTTACCCTCTAATGTCCCCTCCCCCCACAGTCACATCAGTCTCTGTACCAGAGGAACTTACACTCTAATGTACCCTCCCCCACAGTCACACCCTAATATTATTATACATTTCTATATCTCTGACATATACCGCAGCGCATAAAATAATCTCTTGTGATCCTACCATGAAGATTACTTTTCAGGCACTTCCTGGTAGAGGGTGACAACGCTCTGGCCTTGTCTCCCACTTGTCCTCCTGCGTTGTCACACAGGCTTACACTCTAATGTCCCCTCCCCCCACAGTCACACACTATTATTATTATACATTTATATAGCTCTGACATAAATATATTGCCCCAAGTATTGGGCCCCCGGCCTTCCCACACACATGACCTTTAATGGCCCCCCAGTCTTAGTCCGTAGGGTTCAATATTGAGTTGGCCCCGCCCTTTCCACACACATGACCTTTAATGCCCCCCCCAGTCTTAGTCCGTAGGGTTCAATATTGAGTTGGCCCCGCCCTTTCCACACACATGACCTTTAATGGCCCCCCCCAGTCTTAGTCCGTAGGGTTCAATATTGAGTTGGCCCCGCCCTTTCCACACACAAGACCTTTATTGGCCCCCCAGCCTTAGGGTTCAATATTGAGTTGGCCCCGCCCTTTGCAGCTATAACAGCTTCAACTCTTCTGGGAAGGCCGTCCACAAGGTTTAGGAGGGTGTCTATGGGAAGGTTGGACCATTCTTCCAGAAGCACATTTGTCAGGTCAGGCACTGATGTCGGGGGAGGAGGCCTGGCTCGCAGTCTCCGCCCTAATTCATCCCAAAGGTGTTCTATGGGGTTGAGGTCAGGACTCTGTGCAGGACAGTCAAGTTCCTCCACCCCAAACTGGCTCCTCCATGTCTTTATGGACCTTGCTTTGTGCACTGGTGGGCAGTCATGTTGGAACAGGAAGGGGCCATCCCCAAACTCCTCCCACAAACTTGGGAGCATGAAATTGTCCAAAATGTCGCCTTAAGAGTTTCCTTCATGCGCTGACCCCGCCCTGTCATGTGACGTGGCCTACCACCACTGGTGGCTGAGTGGCTGTTGTTCCCAGTTGCTTCCACTTTGTTATAATACCACTAACAGTTGAGCGTGGAATATTTAGTAGCCAGGAAATGTCCCGGATGGACTTATTGCCAAGGTGGCCACCTATCACGGGACCACGCTTGGAGTCACTGAGCTCCTGAGAGCAACCCATTCTTTCACCAATATTTGTAGAAGCCGTCTGCATGCCTAGGGGCTTGATTGTATACACCTGTGTCCATGGAGGGGATTGGAACACCTGAATCACATGATTGGGAGGGGATTGGAACACCTGAATCACATGATATGGAGGGGATTGGAACACCTGAATCACATGATATGGAGGGGATTGGAACACCTGAATCACATGATATGGAGGGGATTGGATCACCTGAATCACATGATTGGGAGGGCGGGGACAATACTTTTGCCAATATAGTGTATACCGCAGTGCTGTACAGAGTCACATGTATTGTGGACACAATGGGATGACTGTGGAGGGAACTCATACAAGCATGGGGAGAGTATACAAACTCCATGCAGTCACAGTGCTTTGGGAAACTAAACTCCAACCCCCGGTGCTGTAAGGCCGTGTTGCCAGGCTGTGTTTTCCTGTTGCTCTCTGTATGTTGCCGTCTATAAATATCTTCACACTGGGAGTTGTATCGGTGGAAGATGTAAGTGTGTCTCTTCGCAGCTGATATTCTAAGATGCAGAGAAATGGGTCAGGGCTGCTTCCTATTGGATGGTCGTCTGTTGGCGGTATTTTTAGGGTGTTTTATTTTTAGTTGTGGTTGTAGCGCTTTGCCTGTGGGACATCTTCACACCCCAAATCTGACAACTGGAAAACAGAACGACATTTGTGGCGTTATATCGCGGGGTGGAACGAGAAACCCATTATAATAATGAGGAGGGAAGCAGTTCACCAAAATGGAATTCATAGCAAATTCTGCCAATCCACAATGATTAGGTTCACCGCAGATGTTCACCAGAGCCGTGGCAGTCAGATATTGGTGGTAGAGTCATGGTGGTCAGGTATAGGTTGTAGAGTCATGGTAATCAGATATTCACCACAGAGCCATGGTGGTCAGATATTTGCAGTAGAGCCAAGATGGTCAGATATTGGTGGTAGAGTCATGGCAGTCAGATATTTGTCATAGAGCCATGGTGGTCAGATATTGGTGGTAGAGCTATTGTGGTCAGATATTGTTGGTAGAGCCACGGTGGTCAGATGTTAGTGGCAGAGCCATGGTGGTCATATATTAGTGGTAGAGCCATGGTAATCAGATATTCATTGCAGATCCAAGATGGTCAGATATTGTTTGTAGGTTCATAGTGGTCAGATATTGGTGGTAAAGCTATTGTAATCAGATATTGTTGGTAGAGCCATGGTGGTCAGATGTTAGTGGCAGAGCCATGGTGGTCAGATGTTAGTGACAGAGCCATGGTGGTCAGATGTTAGTGGCAGAGCCATGGTGGTCAGATGTTAGTGGCAGAGCCATGGTAATCAGATATTCATTGCAGATCAATAATAGTCAGATATTGGTTGTAGAGTTATGGTGGTCAGGTATTAGTGGTAGAGCCATGGTAATCAGATATTCACCACAGAGCCATGGTTGTCAGAATTTTGTGGTAGAGCCATGGTGGTCAGATATTTGCAGCAGAGCCAAGATGATCAGATATTGGTGGTAGAGCCATGGTGGTCAGATATTTGTCGTAGAGCCATGGTGGTCAGATATTGGTGGTAGAGCCATGGTGGTCAGGTGTTAGTTGTAGAGCCATGGTGGTCAGATATTTGCAGCAGAGCCAAGATGGTCAGATATTGGTGGTAGAGCCATGGTGGTCAGATATTGGTGGTAGAGCCATGGTGGTCAGATATTGGTGGTAGAACCATGTGGTCATGTGTTAGTGGCAGAGCCAAGGTAATCAGATATTCACTGCAGACTGTTGGATCGCTCCAGAGGGCTAATCACCACTCCTTTTGGTTCTTTGGGCCCCTCACCATTTCACTTTTTCAGCATGAAGAGCCCCATTGCCCTTCCCCCGCCCAATCTAAGCAGCCATCGGTCTGAAAATAAATGGGCCGATAGACAGACAAGTAATATGACGAGTGGGTGCTCCAGGTACATTGTGTGTATAAGGACACCGCCGTCATGCCTGTGTGCTGTGTTTTCACACACGCCTATTTCCTTCATCACGTGTATGTGGCATGTTTATATGAAGCTTTATACAATACTGTTGTGGGAGGGGCAGAGACACAAACTACTGGCCCCTGGGCCATGACCTGGACAGCATTGCTGTATTCTGTGACTGAAGGGATTGGGGTGTATATGGGGTGACGTGCTGTCGGTGGGTCAATGGGGGGCGCTCTCGGTGGGGCGATGATTAATACGGATCCATCAGATGAGTCGCTCTTCCATGACATCAATAAGCTGCATTAACCGCCTCTCTAAAATGCTAACATTCCCCCAGAAATGGGATCCTGGCGTGTCTGCGGCCACGGCGCGTCTTTGTGTCATTTGGAGTGTCAGCGCAGCTTTCCTTCCATTCTCACTTCCTGCAGAGTAATCTTCTCTCCGCACGCGGGAAGACCTTGCCTTTGTCTTATCTCCTCAGCCAGAAAACCCGACTTGTCGCCTCAATTGGAGGAATTCTATGGCTGGTAAAGTTTCCAGCAGAGCTCCCGACATGTACGTTGTCACCCGGCAAGACAGCGCTAAAGATCTCCGCGTTCAGGCGCCATTCGCCGAGATGTGTGGGAAGAGCGGCGCAGCGCCGAGGGTTATGTCTACAATGTAAGGGTGTCGGCCACAACGGTTCAGCAGCTTCCTCCTCCTGCATCACGGCTCATTACCATCCCCTGACCGCCATAACCCTCCCCCCACCACTAACACCCAATTCTTCAAATATTCCCCTCCAGTCTTGCACAGGTGTACCGGCTCCTCCCCTTCAGTCTTGCACAGGTGTACCGGCTCCTCCCCTCCAGTCTTGCACAGGTGTACCGGCTCCTCCCCTTCAGTCTTGCACAGGTGTACTGGCTCCTCCCCTCCAGTCTTGCACAGGTGTACAGGCTCCTCCCCTCTAGTACCGGCTCCTCCCATTCAGTCTTGCATAGGTGTACAGGCTCCTCCCCTCTAGTCTTGCACAGGTGTACCGGCTCCTCCCCTTCAGTCTTGCACAGGTGTACCGGCTCCTCCCCTTCAGTCTTGCACAGGTGTACCGGCTCCTCCCCTTCAGTCTTGCACAGGTGTATCTGCTCCTCCCCTCCAGTCTTGCACAGGTGTACCGGCTCCTCCCCTCCAGTCTTGCACAGGTGTACCGGCTCCTCCCCTTCAGTCTTGCACAGGTGTACTGGCTCCTCCCCTCCAGTCTTGCACAGGTGTACTGGCTCCTCCCCTCCAGTCTTGCACAGGTGTACCGGCTCCCTCCCATTCAGTCTTGCATAGGTGTACAGGCTCCTCCCCTCTAGTCTTGCACAGGTGTACCGGCTCCTCCCCTTCAGTCTTGCACAGGTGTACCGGCTCCTCCCCTTCAGTCTTGCACAGGTGTACCGGCTCCTCCCATTCAGTCTTGCACAGGTGTACAGGCTCCTCCCCTCTAGTCTTGCACAGGTGTACCGGCTCCTCCCCTTCAGTCTTGCACAGGTGTACCGGCTCCCCTCCCCTTCAGTCTTGCACAGGTGTACCGGCTCCTCCCCTTCAGTCTTGCACAGGTGTATCTGCTCCTCCCCTCCAGTCTTGCACAGGTGTACCGGCTCCTCCCCTTCAGCCTTGCACAGGTATACCTGCTCCTCCCCTTCAGTCTTGCACAGGTGTACCGGCTCCTCCCCTTCAGTCTTGCACAGGTGTATCTGCTCCTCCCCTCCAGTCTTGCACAGGTGTACCGGCTCCTCCCCTTCAGTCTTGCACAGATGTACCAACTCCTCCCCTTCAGTCTTGCACAGGTGTATCTGCTCCTCCCCTCCAGTCTTGCACAGGTGTACCGGCTCCTCCCCTTCAGTCTTGCACAGATGTACCAACTCCTCCCCTTCAGTCTTGCACAAGTGTACCGGCTCCTCCCCTTCAGTCTTGCACAGGTGTACCGGCTCCTCCCCTTCAGTCTTGCACAGGTGTATGTGCTCCTCCCCTCCAGTCTTGCACAGGTGTACCGGCTCCTCCCCTTCAGTCTTGCACAGATGTACCAACTCCTCCCCTTCAGTCTTGCACAGGTGTACCGGCTCCTCCCCTTCAGTCTTGCACAGATGTACCAACTCCTCCCCTTCAGTCTTGCACAGGTGTACCAGCTCCTCCCCTTCAGCCTTGCACAGGTATACCGGCTCCTCCCCTTCAGTCTTGCACAGGTGTACCGGCTCCTCCCCTTCAGTCTTGCACAGGTGTACCGGCTCCTCCCCTGGACTGAAACGGCTTCCTCTGATGTCACTGCACACTGGGAGCTTCTCACAATGTATATTAGAGGCTGCAACCAGTCAGATAGAGCTGACCAGCACCATCTAGCCCTTCTCTCCCCAGCCTGACTGTCTCTGGTTCCTCCCCTTTCATTCAGTGGATTTCAGTTCCTTCAATCATGGAGGCTCAGCTTCACATGTAGGTGTTCCCTATGCAAATACAGCCAGTCTGGGAACGCCCACTCCTCCAGACTGACACCCAGCCATCAAGGCATTTTGATATTTGCATAACTCCTCCCACTGCTTGCCTCAGGACTGAGGGCGCTAGAGAGGAATACTGAGGCCGGGGGCTGAGATGTTTTCAGGAAGCTAAATACAGCCCACTGCTGGCCCCTCCCACCAGCCATGATCTGCCTGCATTTCATAGAGAAGCACAGGTCTCTCCATGACCCCCATTGTCTCTCCATGAACCACATCGTCTTTCCATCAATGGCGGCGTCTCTCCGTCGAATAATTTATGTGAGAAAATCTCCGGAATCGCTGTCCGGCCGCGTCTCCTCCAAAGGTCACATCGCGCCTTTCATCTATTATCACGCCGAGCGTCTCGCTGGCGCGTCTTTAATCTCATCTCCCCCGAGAAGTCGGAAATGAAGATGTGCATTCGTTAATCGTCTCCCCGCGGCGGGGGAGGGGAGGGGGGGCGCTGCGTTCCTGGGAGGGCTGGAAAACCTGTTTTGATGTTTACGCGTTCCCATCAATATTGGGGGAAGGTGTTCTGGGCGCCATGTTTGCTCGCGGTGCGGAGAAGCGAAACGCGTGGGAATTGTACAAAACCGCGTTGATGTTAAATTGCTCATATTTTTAGCTAAAAAATATATATATATCGCCAATCTTCGCTCCACGCGGCAGCAAGACGTCCTCCTCGGTCCAGCGCCAGAGGTCCCCCGCCATGCTGCCCATTTCCTGTGAACACAGTATTTACACTCCCCCCCCCCCCCCAGGGGGTGCATCATCACACAGCCAGAGCTTACAGTAGTCAAGGACTGAGCGCCACCCACCATCTTCCAGCATCATCCAGGGGGAGGGGGGACTGAGGAAATGACTCCTCCTCCTTCTACAAAGTTACACTGTACAGTCTGATCACTGGGGGAGGGGAGACTGAGGAAATGCTTCCTCCTCCTTCTACAATGTTACAATGTACAGTGTGATCACTGGGGGAGGGGAGACTGAGGAAATGCTTCCTCCTCTTCTACAAAGTTACAATGTATAGTCTGATCACCGGGGGAGGGGAGACTGAGGAAATGACTCCTCCTCCTTCTACAAAGTTACACTGTACAGTCTGATCACTGGGGGAGGGGAGACTGAGGAAATGCTTCCTCCTCCTACTACAATGTTACAATGTACAGTCTGATCACTGGGGGAGGGGAGACTGAGGAAATGCCTCCTCCTTCTATAAAGTTACAATGTATAGTCTGATCACGGGGGGAGGGGAGACTGAGGAAACTCCTCTTCCTCCTTCTACAATGTTACAATGTACAGTCTGATCACTGGGGGAGGAGACTGAGGAAATGACTCCTCCTTCTACAAAGTTACAATGTACAGTCTGATCACTGGGGGAGGGAAGACTGACTGAGGAAATGCCTCTTCCTCCTTCTACAATGTTACAGTGTACAGTCTGATCACTGGGATCATGATAAACATCGATCGTTTCTCAACTGCTATAGTCAGGGATTTCGCTGATAAAGGACTTCTGACATCAGTATAAAGAGGACCTGTCACCTACACAATGCGATCACATAGAGGGCTTGTTAGCTCCCTTGTGATAGGAAAGAAGTTACATGAAGAAAAAAAAAATGAAAAAGAATAAAATATAAAAATAATAAAAAATGTTTTTAAAATGTTGAAAGCCGCCATGATAAGGTAAAGATAAATTGCGCCACCCATGGGAGGTACCACTGAATGAGGGAGGGAGGCACCACTGAAAAAGGGAGGGAGGTACCACTGAACGAGGGAGGGAGGCACCACTGAACGAGGGAGGGAGGTACCACTGAAAAAGGGAGGGAGGTACCACTGAAAAAGGGAGGGAGGTACCACTGAACGAGGGAGGGAGGTACCACTGAACGAGGGAGGGAGGTACCACTGAAAAAGGGAGGGAGGTACCACTGAATGAGGGAGGGAGGTACCACTGAATGAGGGAGGGAGGTACCACTGAAAAAGGGAGGGAGGTACCACTGAACGAGGGAGGGAGGTACCACTGAATGAGGGAGGGAGGTACCACTGAAAAAGGGAGGGAGGTACCACTGAATGAGGGAGGGAGGGAGGAACCACTGAACGAGGGAGGGAGGTACCACTGAATAAGGGAGTGAGGGAGGTGCCACTGAGCGAGGGAAGGAGGTACCACTGAACGAGGGAGGGAGGTACCACTGAAAGAGGGAGGGAGGTACCACTGAATAAGGGAGTGAGGGAGGTACCACTGAGCGAGGGAAGGAGGTACCACTGAACGAGGGAGGGAGGTACCACTGAATAAGGGAGTGAGGGAGGTACCACTGAATAAGGGAGTGAGGGAGGTGCCACTGAGCGAGGGAAGGAGGTACCACTGAACGAGGGAAGGAGGTACCACTGAACGAGGGAGTGAGGGAGGAGGTACCACTGAATGAGGGAGTGAGGGAGGTACCACTGAATGAGGGAGGGAGGTACCACTGAACGAGGGAGGGAGGTACCACTGAACGAGGGAGCGAGGGGTTACAGTCATTTCCAGCAAAACATTGCCGATTTGTTAAGAAAAAAGAAAATTGCGTTAACGATAAGAGGCGGAGCCTAATAAATGATTCTGTTGTAGACTTCGATGTCAGGGATTTATTCGTGCAGAAATGTCAGTTACCGAGGGATCTCTAGGAGCGCCACCCTTCCCCCGCCGTCAGCTGATGAGTAATACCGGAATAAAATCTCCAGACTGGTAAACCGCTTCAATGTCGTCGCCATTACCGCGCCAAGATGGAGGCGTTTGTACGAGCGGAGCGTTCCTTTAAGAAAGTGAAGTCCGCCAGAAGAAGTTGAAAAGTCGATTTTTTTTTTGGTGTCCTTAGAGTCACTGATCCGTAAACAGAGAACGCACGAAACGGCGCCAAGATACGCCTCGTGCGCAGCGGCGGCTTTCTTCCGGCCCAATTCCTCTAGGTGGCGTTCAGAGCGATTCGTCACGGTCGGGCAGATGCTCATTTCAGGCCTTGTTGGGCAGGGATGAATCGCGAATCGCGACCTAACTACACCGACGCAAAGGCCGCGCGGCGGTCCCCCCGGAATCCGCCGTGTCTTGTCACATAAACCCCTTCCAAGGTGAGGCCATCTCGGAGGGAAAAGTCTAAATTATTCACATGGACATCTGTGAGGAAGAAAGAGACTTGTGAGAAGCTTCCGACGGAAGCCGACTCCCGGGTCACGCACCAAATTCCGTGGAAAAGTGGACCGGCAGGCCATGAGATGAAGATTCCTCCTGGTATTTCGAGTGACAGGTTCTCTTTGTAGGGATTGTGAGACCAAATCCAACAATCTCATCGGATACTTCACATCACCGTTCCCCGAGGAACCCCAGAAAACAGGCTGAGATTTCGGGGTACTCCTCACCATACATGGTGCGATCAGTGAGATGTACATGTGGAAATCTACAGCTCTAACTCTTCATTGGTCCTCATCAGGAATTCTAACTCTTCATTGGTGCTCATCAGGAACTCTAACTTTTCATTGGTGCTCATCAGGAACTCTAACTTTTCATTGGTGCTCATCAGGAACTCTAACTCTTCATTGGTCCTCATCAGGAACTCTAACTTTTCATTGGTGCTCATCAGGAATTCTAACTCTTCATTGGTGCTCATCAGGAATTCTAACTTTTCATTGGTGCTCATCAGGAATTCTAACTTTTCATTGGTGCTCATCAGGAATTCTAACTTTTCATTGGTGCTCATCGGGAACTCTAACTTTTCATTGGTGCTCATCAGGAACTCTAACTTTTCATTGGTGCTCATCGGGAACTCTAACTTTTCATTGGTGCTCATCGGGAACTCTAACTTTTCATTGGTGCTCATCAGAACTCTAACTTTCCATTGGTGCTCATCAGGAACTCTAACTTTTCATTGGTGATCATCAGGAATTCTAACTTTTCATTGGTGCTCATCAGAACTCTAACTTTTCATTGGTGCTCATTGGGAACTCTAACTTTTTATTGGTGCTCATCGGGAACTCTAACTTTTCATTGGTGCTCATTGGGAACTCTAACTTTTCATTGGTGCTCATCAGGAATTCTAACTTTTCATTGGTGCTCATAAGGAACTCTAACTTTTCATTGGTGCTCATCTGGAATTTTAACTTTTCATTGGTGCTCATCGGGAACTCTAACTTTTCATTGGTGCTCATCGGGAACTCTAACTTTTCATTGGTGCTCATCGGGAACTCTAACTTTTCATTGGTGCTCATTGGGAACTCTAACTTTTCATTGGTGCTCATCAGGAATTCTAACTTTTCATTGGTGCTCATAAGGAACTCTAACTTTTCATTGGTGCTCATCTGGAATTTTAACTTTTCATTGGTGCTCATCGGGAACTCTAACTTTTCATTGGTGCTCATCGGGAACTCTAACTTTTCATTGGTGCTCATCGGGAACTCTAACTTTTCATTGGTGCTCATTGGGAACTCTAACTTTTTATTGGTGCTCATCGGGAACTCTAACTTTTCATTGGTGCTCATAAGGAACTCTAACTTTTCATTGGTGCTCATAAGGAACTCTAACTTTTCATTGGTGCTCATCTAGAATTCTAACTTTTCATTGGTGCTCTTCAGAAACTCTAACTTTTCATTGGTGGTCATCGGGAATTCTAACTTTTCATTGCTGCTCATAAGGAACTCTAACTTTTCATTGATGCTCATCTAGAATTCTAACTTTTCATTGGTGCTCTTCAGAAACTCTAACTTTTCATTGGTGGTCATCGGGAATTCTAACTTTTCATTGGTGCTCATCAGGAATTCTAACTTTTCATTGGTGCTCATCAGGAATTCTAACTTTTCATTGGT